TCTTTTCTTCCTAAAAATAAAAAATGCAATACTGAATCAAAAATCTCTCTAGAAATCTTAAAAGTGCGGTAGCACGTTTCAGATATTATTTATGATAGTTTGGTTTCGTAATTCGTTTTTCTCTGCGAAACTTGTTCCTACCGAATAGAATTTCTTCCGAGTTTTGTCAATGACACGCATGACTGCACAATGAGCTTGGTTGATTGTTTCGAATCGATTCAAGTCTGAAAAAGAGGATCATTGTCGCGGCGATGATACGGTATAGAGTGTTGTATAATAATTGAACGCGCCGCGGTATTACTGAATGAATCGAGTGATCAGAGAAAGCGATGTATAAAAACCATGATGCAACTAAAAGTGATCGCTATATCGACAATTATAAATGTCTTTTAAAATGTTTTGTGAAGAAAAATATCAAATTAACTTGAGTCGTAAATTTTTATACAGCAGTAATCTCATAAAGTATGTTTAGATTTATCCAAGAACAGAAAGAAGAATAATTGATCTTCATTCAATTGGATAAAATAAAAAGTAATTAATTTTTTTCATTTGGAATCTCGTGTCTATTAAAAGCTATTTATTGATCAAAACTGATTAGTCAAAATTAACATATATGGAGTGCATTCATGATCGATAATTAATTTCAGGTTGTATGCACCAAGGTTTGCACACGCGTATCTATGACGCATATACCGCCTTTCCAAGTGTCGCAACTATGCATCGTGATCGTTTAAAATCGGAAACCCGGTTTCGTCTCGCTCTGAAAAGCGCTCATGTATGTCAATTATATCTTTGGATTTATCTTATACAAGACCCGGCGCGCGCGCGCGCGCGCGCGCGTGTGTGTGTGTGTGTGTGTAATAATAATTGCAGAATTATAATCAAAGCTGCTTATAACATGACGAGAATTTAAAGTTAATTATAGGGAAAATCGAGTTATATATACAATGTATATATACATGTATGACAATATGCTCATGATACAATAAATTTTGAAATTATGTAATATAATTATATTACTTAGTAAAGAAAGTATATAGCAAAATTAAAAATATTTAAGTTATATATTTATTAAAGAATTTGATTCAATGATCTAGAAATTATGTATGCATCTATATCCGTATATCTATGTCAATGCTACATTTCTTTATATTTTTGTTCTTGTATTCAAATATCTTTTTTTATATTCTAATGTTGCAGAAATATTGATTACAACATTGTTTTTGCAGAAATTAAGAAACAATGCATTTGATTATATAATTAGTAATAAGTATATGAAACTTGAAGCATTAGTAGATTATATATTTTTATAGATCGATTTTCCTTTTTCTCTTTTTCATCATGCACGCATATACTACACATACTAGTATATTATTCCACACGCACGCACACACATGCACGCACGCACGTACGCACGCACGCATGTGCATTGAGAAATATGAAAAAATTCATGTTAACATGGAAAAATGGAAATATGAAAAAATTCATGTTAACATGGAAAAATGGAAATATGAAAAAATTCATGTTAACATGAAAAAATGAAAGACGAATGTGCCAATTTCATGATAATATTTTTTGTTAAAATTTTAAAAGATATATAGTAAAATCGATCATACATCTATCAAATTAAATTAGATGAAAAATATAGCTTATAACGTGATAGGAGAGAAAGAAAAATTACTCTCATTAAATTGGATGACAAATATGTCTTTTGGAATGTATAATCAAACATGCATTATCTATGTTAGGCAGTCAATAAAACTTTTGTTTATATGATTAAATCTTATAAAATATTTTCTCGAGTATGAAATATAAGGAAGTAGCATAAATGTTTATTAAAAAACAAATATTATTTATTACATTTAAAGATTACAACTAAAAAGAATTATGTAATATTATGTTTAAATTTTAAATAACTAATTTGTATTAAATATTTTGATTTTAAATAATAAATTTTCTTTCTAAAATTATTTTCGCTTATTATTTGTTTTGAATTTTATTCTATGTCTGAGTGAGATGAAAACACGGAAAGAAACTTATTGAGAGGTAGTAGAAAATAATTTCTATACTTACTAAACAGCCGATCGAATACTAAAGAATAGGAGCTGTCCTTGCTTGAAGAAAGAGCTGAGAACTGATACCAGTTACTCGTTCATCGGAGTTCTTATAGTCCTGTCTGGTTCAGCTGATTTACTTACGGAAGGGATTGCAGACGTTCAAAATAATGCCCTGCCAATATTCTTTTCCGCCTATTATATTTCACTCTCCATCTCTTGCCCCTTCTTTCTCTCAAATATTATATGTTTAGATTAATAAAATTATAAATAAAAAATAAATTTGATATTATTAATAAATGATTAGAGATAGCCTATAATAAGCTATTTGTAATGTAATAAGTTTGAATATAATTTTAATGAATGTATAGAAATAAGCGTTACATGTTAAATTTACATGTATATATACAATAAATAGATATAAAAATATAAATATAAAAGTTGTGAATGAAAATGCTAAAGAAAGCAAAGAATCTGAATTACATGTTATGAATATATTTATTTAATCGCAAAATATATATCAATGCATTATGTACATTTTAATAGAATCTAACAAATTAGTTGAATAGAAATGACATCTTCGGTACTATTTTAAAATTGTATTTATCATATGTTATGAAAGGTACAATTTGATTGCGATTTGAGTATATTGATAAAATTATTTAAAAAAGAAAAGATAGTTTTACATTCTTTTCCGTTCTGCTTTAAATATATGCCACATTCGCGCAACCTACCAATAAAAATACGATAAATTATATGTTCCAAAAAATTTATTGATATTTGTACTTCATAAAGCTTTCTTAGCAAGATATTGTAATGCTTATTCGTAAAGAAAAGATTGCGCGGTTAGATATCGATTTCTATCTGTGAGATTCCTTGTAGAATTAAGGAAGCGTTAATTACGTAAAAATACAAAAAGATTATAAATCGCGTACGAATTTCCTTTATTATTTCCTTTATTATATTTAAAACTTATAATTACATTTAAAAATATCAGCCAAGCACATACGTGATTGGGCTTGAAGAAGATATAATTTTTGGGCCATTTTATAATCGTATCAAGTTATAATATTTTTAAGTGTTCTTTTCTGTATGTGTAGTGTATAAATATGAAGAAGTTAAATTAAGCCTTACATAATAATACATAACTTCACACATAATATCATCAAACATTTCGAAAAAAAATACTAATCATTTATCTGTTTTCGCGGTTAAGTCAAAGCATTTGATGCACATTTTTATGATTCATTATGATTGTTTAATAGAAACGACACAATTATCCACATTTATTCATCATAATGAATATTTTTCATATTCTTTGTATCAGTGAGTGCAAATTATAGATTTATTTATTTACATTATGATTTGATGTGATATACATAAAATTATGATTTAGATAACTGACGTTTCTATTATAACCAAACCATTTCATTTTCTAGTTATACTGATATTTGTAGCATCCGAATGTAGACGGATTCATAAAGTCCCAATTAATATAGTAAGTTTTAATTAATTTTTTCTATTTACTAAAAAATTTAATAACAAATTTGAACAGTTTTGATTTTTGTGTGAATAACAT